GTACCAAGTTTCATCAAAATCCAATGAGTGGTTCTTTAGATATCAGTGGAACAGTCATAGAACAGCTAAAAATTAGCTAATTATCATGCAAATTAGGTAATTAACGAGCATGGATTTTTACCAAAACCTAATCAAATCTGCGCATTGGCCCAGAGCATCTATGCTCCAAGTTTCATCAAAAACCGATGTATGGTTCTTGAGATAGCAGTGGAACAGTCGGACACACATACACACACACACACATACACACATACACACATACACACATACACACACACATACAGACACACTAACTGCAAAGACTCCCATTTTGTGCTTCGCACATGGGAGTCAAAAAATGCACTAGAATTTTAATGAGCAGCTTCTTAGGATAAATTACTTGCGTTATATATATATTTGGCATAGTCAGTAAAATATGTTTATCCATGGAGCGAACTGGTACATTTTGTCTGCAACAAGTACGGTCAGTTTTGTGTCCATGTCAGTTCATAAATTCATAGAACACATTTTTTGGTTAAGTTTGTAAAGTCTGTGAGACTGTGATTTATCAAAATATGATGAAAGTATTAAATCGATAATGGCAACATTGTTTTCTACGAAGGCATTTGAAAACCACTCTCCCTCTATCACAGTGTCAAAACTAAAGTCGGGGCTAACGCTACAACTCCGGCGCTACGACCACAGTAACATTGTCACCTGATGGCATTGTGGGGAAATTACAGGTATTTACCGCTGCCGATATATTACTTTTCTGTGACAAAATGCACACATTTCGAACCCCCGGTTAATTAAAAATAAAGGATTATTTTAGAAAATACATCAAAGCACAGTGCCTTGAGGAACTGTGGGCGAAGTAGGCAGCGAGGTGTTGTTTTTAAACACCGCAGAAAATCATGCACTCAACACAGCCATCTTGTTACCTCAATCGGAATTTCTCCTTGTCACCCAGCATGCATCGATTGCAATGTCGCAACGTGCACTGTGTCGCCTTGGGCGACGGTCTTAGGTACAAGCACTCTTGAATAAGGTATTTTCAGAGGTCAGGGTTCGTTTTTTATAAGCAGTCTCGTCTGCAGATGAATAGCCTTAAATAATCAGCTCGAGTCCATTTAATTTAATTTTCTGTTTTGATACTTCGTGTCACTGGCAATTGAATAAGAAAAACTGCAAATAACCGATGTGCAGCAAATCGAAATAAATTTTCATGGCGTACGCTGCATTTGTTTTCCCGGATTTTGCGATGCCGCACTCCTGAATGAACTTTTTGAAAATTGAACGCGCAACAGTAGTAAAGTCTTGAACACAGTAGCGTAAGTCTCAAGTGCAACTTTGTATCAACAAATGTTCGTCTTCTGATACTTATTAGCTGTCAGAGACACATATCAATTGTCCAGCCCAATGAAAAGTCTGATTCACGTCCTCTGCTCAATTTGTGACTCAAGCATAACAGTTTATCAAAACAAAACAATGTATTCAGCACGCTGTTCACCGATATATGAAAGAGTGTTTTTTTTAGGCAAGACACACGGTAAAATGACTACTGTACACCACAGTCTTTTTTAATAACCGTGTGTACACCAATAAATCGACACATTTTAGAGACAACTATCTAGTCTTCAAAAAGCAATGTAAACTCTGTCAATCCTAAAAATAAACAACAGCTTGAATGAGGTGTGAATGAGATCGGTTCGAACCGCAGTTTTTATGCAAATTCGTGCGGTCGTCCTGAACTGCACTGTCTATTGTTTAAACTTCCAAATCGCAAAACTGAGTTTTGTTTGGGCGGTTTAGGGCGGTTTGGGTTTTCGTAGGTTTGACTCGCATGTTTGAATATGAGATCACCTTCAACAATTTTATGTCATAACCGTTATAAAATAGTATATGGCATTTTAAAATCAGCAGATTAATAATTTCAATTTTTGATATCTCTAATATCATATACTGTCTATTTGAATCAAAATTAACTTTGGCGAAAATTAGCAAAATCTTGCAAATTTTTCTAATTGCAGAAGAATATTTTATATAAAAATTTGTTGGGTATACCCACATGAATGTTTTATTTTGACAGCTACATATAAAAAATGATACAAACATAATGACAAGAAAACAGAAGTGAGCAGACCTGACCTTTCCGCTGATTTTCAACGACCGGGCACTTACCGGTAGTTAGATGATTTGCTCAATAACAACAATACAATTTCTATGTGTTGTACACTTACTGCCATGTACGGCTTACATCCAGCATCCATCGTCTTGGCAACTGAATCTTCAAGGTGTCCACTGATCCCAAAGTCACACATCTTGACATGACCAGCTCGGTCTATAAGAACATTGGATGGCTTCACATCTCGATGAATAACTTTAAGTTGTGTGTGTAGATAGTGTAAAGCATTGACAATCTGACAGGTAGAAAAAAAAACAAAAAAACAAATTATGATGTGGAGGAGGTGTGAGGCAGCAAAGAATAAGAATAAATGGGAGTTGCTGAATGGCTGTATGGATGTGACATTTCCCGAGAACCACAATTATATGTGTAATGTACAAGCAGGATCATATAACTGGTATAGAAATAATACTCACAGAATATGCAACAAATCCAAGAATTTCCTCCGGGATTGTCTCATTTTTCTCATAAACTTTTTTGTAAAACTTGTCCAGTGAGGTGTCTAATATTTCCATGCAAATCCACACATCACCCTGCAATGAGAAAATACCATGAGATTACAGTATGTTAAAAAAAATCCAGGTACATTCAAAACTTATGACCCAATGATTAGCAGCACTTGCAAGTACTTTTATTTTTCACAGAATGCACTATGTACCAACAAAACTCACTTGGTGTCTCAGAACCCCAGAGAAATGTTCAATACTACAAAATGTAGTGAGAAAATTTGTGAAAATAAAGCAGTTTACAGTATTTATGTTGGGATGAAAACTAATGTGATGATAAACGGTACCTCTTGAAACATAGCACCATAGAAGGTGACTGTGAATGGACACAGTGAACTTCGCATGGCTA